TGTATGTAGATGAAACAGAAACCTATTTAATTTTTAGTCTTTAGAACATTTCTATAGTTAGTTTTTTTCTGTAATGGTGTAATTACCTGATAGAATCTATTATTCCAATGGCTTAGATTTCATGTGTAAGACAAATTTATTTCAAACTATTTTTTAATCTTGGGAATCTCAAACTATAAGATGATGCAAAATGTTTTGTTCTTAAGCAAAAATTAAAAGTAGAAATAATACCAAATGCAAATTTTTAATTAGAAGTGAAAAGAGAGACCGTGAAATGCTTAATTGGAAGTAGATTTAAGGATAAAGATGTAATATGGTTTAAGGAATGTGTGAATTCTTTTGAATTAGAAAGCACTGGAATGTTGAGCCTATATAAAGTGGCTTGATAGTTAGGGAGGGAATAGGTAACCCCCAAGTGATGCTTTTTCCAAAATTTTGCATGTAAAAAAACTTCTTTTATTTTTCTTTTATTTTTGGTTGTGAATGGAGCTGGGGCATTGATATTTGTGAAATTGTAACGCAAAGTTTGTATATAGTTCAAAAGTTTATAATTTTTTATTCTGCATTTTGAAGTGTATTTTGTCTTTAATAGATACAACTGTAAGTACTGTGTACACTATTAAACCAATAAAATGTTTATAAAATATGTTGTTGATTACTTTCATTGCAGTCACACTTTATTTGGAATTACAGGGATACTCAGCAGTTCTGAACAGCTAGAAATATCCTTTGAAAGTTTGAAATTGTAGAAACATCTTAACAACAAGTTATACAAATTATGCATTTTCACTGCATAGTTACATTAAGTTTGATGCAAATTGATGTGTCCAGGAGTTACTTTCTTATTACCTGATTAAAGAACTATCTTGCATTTACTAGAACTCTAGTGATTCAATCCTTTGTTCCATAAACTTTCTATACTGAAATTTAAACTATAATTAAAAGATAGCTTACAATTTCCCCCCATTTTGAATTGAATCCATGGAAATTTGCATAAATTAATCTGGAACCATTATTCTTTGGACATTTCCTAATCTTAATCACAGTTACCATCAAGATGACAATATCAGAGTGTTTATTTGTTTATCGAACCTTTTTACATAGAAAAATGGCAAAATGGCACATTTTATACTGTAATGTATTACATGCCATAGTTATTACATAATTAAGTAGATATTAAGTAACAAATTGGCCAGGTTGTCTGGGCATCTGCCATTTTTGTTGATCTCTAATTTCTACTCTGAGCAAATAATGACTTCTCTTTTTAAATCACAAGTATATCAAAATATTTTATTTTGGGTGAATTGTCAATACTGTAGTTCATCTGTTAGTTTCAGCAGCCCATTATAATGGAACTTATCTTCACTTGCCTCTCTAAGAGCTTTAAAAAATGCTTTAATTATGAGGGTATAAGGATTTTATAAACTTTTGCAATCTAGTCTAATGTATCTCAAAAATCAAGATAATGCTTTTTAATACTGCATTCTTTTAAAAGAATTTTAATTGGATTTCAGAATTTTAAAAGGATTGGTTTTGAAGTGAAGGGTTTGTTCGTGGTTCAGCTTGGCACTCAGAATCTCTAACAAGTCATAGCAATGTCACAATAGCAATAGCAGTTAGACAAAAATACTGCTTTCACAGTGCTTTAGAACTCTAAGCGGTTTACATTGTCAACATATTGCCCCCAACAATCTGGGTTCTATTTTACCGACCTTGGGAGGATGGAAGGTTGACTTAACCTTGCACCAGTCAGGATCAAACTGCTGTGCAGCTGACAGTCAGCAGAAGTAGCCTGCAGTACAGCATTCTAATTATACCACCATGGCTATGATGATGATGATGCACGTTATGATGAAAATGGTGCGTATGTACTTATATCATGAAGTCCAACACTTATACATAAATTGCATAATATGCAGGCCGATCTCATGATATACATTTGTCCCCTTGTCTCCCCAGATGCTGGTAATGCCACTCAAGTGTAGCATTTTTTTCTGAAGTATGCCATTTAAAAAATATGGCTCCTCTTAACTTTTACTAAAATTATGAATCAGCAGAAGATAAAGCTCTCAACCACTGTAAATAAAATTAATGCTAGTGACATCAGTTCAAATATAATGGGAAACAATGTTCTTTTTGTCAATACTGTGATAAGCTTCAACTGGCAGTTCATGCCAACATCCAACATCTGCTGTGCTTTGAGACCATAAATTGCAGGATAATTTTATTTTTTCATGCTTTTGTGCATAATCAGAATGCCTTCACTTTCACTTGCTATTTATTATTTAACCATATCATGCTGATTATCAGATTTCAGCCCATTCTAAGCCTGATGGAGGAAGTGAGGGGTGTATTTAGAAATGTGGGAGTATGCAAGAGGTATTACTGCATGGGTTGGGAAGGATGTGAAGGAAGTTTGCCAGAGATGGCATGCAATTTGGGAAGAGCAGAGAGGTGAATAGCATAGATCGTGAAAGGTGTTAGAGGGCCCAGATTGTTGGGGGCAATATGCTGACTGGTAAATCACTTAGAGGGTTGTAAAAGCACTGTGAAATGGTATATAAGTCTAAGTGCTATTGCTAGGGGGCACGTGAAAGGTGCTCTGTGGATCATGTTGGCTACATGGAGAAATAGGTCAAGATGGGGGCATGAAGGTCTGTGTGTGGGGGCGGTACTGTATCTGTTGGGGATGGCCTATAGGGGAAGTGGTTGAGAAGCATGCTTGGGAGTGAGCAAGAGGTGCTTTGCAATCAGACTGCCTGAGGACGGCACAGGGTGAAATGCATGTGGGGGCCCAAGAGTCATCAGAGGGGTCGGGATGAGTTGGGATTGGGTGCCTGGGGTGCTATGGAGTGAGGGAAAGCACACAGGGGTAGCATGGATCAGAAAGGGTCATGGAGGTGCCCAAGAGGTGCTGCATGGGTCAGGGAAGGTGCTTGAGGGGAGGCAGGTTGGAGAAGGTGTGCAGGGATATGCAAAAAACATTGCAGAGCGAGGGATGACATTTGGGGGACAGTGCGAATTGAGAAGGCACACAGTGGGGTACCCAAAATGAGCCACAAGAGTCATGGAAGATGTGTGAGGTGTGTACTGGGTGCTGCATGGGTTAGGGAAGGCAAGTGGAGAGGGGCACAGGTCGTGGGGAGGTGGCATGGGCCAGGAAGGACGCATAGGAGTTCCTTCTTCCCTTCCCAGCAGGCAGATAAATGGCTGCTGTTGGGTGGGAAAAGGAGTGAGGGATTGCAAGACAGGCTGGGAAATTGTCAAGGAATGAAGAAAACGAAGATCTAGTGACCAACAACAACAACCCAGCAGTATAGCATATAATAATAATTTACCTCAGATTCCGTTTATAAAACAAAATAGAAACTTCATAGTACAAGATAAAGACCATTTATTAAATATAATTAATTATTTGATTTTGATCTATAAAAGTACTTAGCAATTTGGTGAGATTATAAAACAGCTTACATTATCTGTAAGAACTGGGCAAAGTTTTACCTGTGCAAGCAGCACCAAATGATAATTTGTTATAGGTGATTAATTCATTTACCTTCTTTCTCTGAGTGAACTGCCTGGGAAAAGAGGAGACCCTAACACTTTCCAAAATCAAGTTTACTCCTTTACAAATCAAGTTTTTTGTTGCAGGCTTTTCTTCCCTTTACTAGCAAGGATATTAACAGCAATGAAATGCTAGCAATCAGGAAATGGTTGCTGGAAGAATCAAAGCAAAACTTAACAGGAAGCAATTAACACTTTGGTTTGCAAATTTCAGGTTGTTTTAATTCTAAGAAAAAAAAATTTTTTTTAAAGTAAGCAGAGTGAAAGTCAAAGTAATCCAATAGCTGACTTTGATAGAGATTAGATATTGCCAAGAAAATACTGGATTCACATAAGCCATTATTTATTTTAATAATTGTTGAAGCACACACAGTGGCTTCATTCATTCATGCTTTTGGTGCATAATCAGAAAGTCTTCACTTTCACTTCTCATGCCCTATATCAGAAAGATTTCAGCCCAGTCTAATTGTTGAAGCACACACAGTGGCTTCATTCACAATACAAGTAGTCACTACTAATTCAGCAACAGTTCAAAATTATGACAACAAATGAGGACTTAAAACTGGTCCACAAAGTTTCAACTGTGGCAACATCCCCACTGTGATAAGAATGGCATTCTGGGCATTCAGGTGCCCAGCTCACAATTAAAACTTGGCAGTATATGCAGCGTTTCTTACCAGCTTCTCACATGCAAACTCAGGGGGAAGCTGGCAATGAAGATCACAATGTGCTCCCATACCACTCCCAGCCTTTTCTTCTGAGGAAGTCCGCTACAGAGTAAGAGATCTTGTACTCTGTAGTATCCTCTCTCCTGTTGTGCTCCAAGTGAGAGGGATCTAGGAATCAGCCACTAAGTATGAGCCAGGAGTGTGCTACAAGTTGCCAATAAAGCCAATGCGGTCCTAGGTTGCATCAACAGAGGGATAGTACCAAAATTACATGAGATGTTAGTGCCACTTTATACTGTAGGACCATACATGGAATATTGCCTCTAGTTTTTATAGCCGCTGTACGAAAAAAGATGTTAAACTCTAGAAAAAGTACAAAGAGCAACAAAGATTATTAAGGGACTGAAAGTTAAAGCATACAATGAATGCTTGCGAGAATTTGGAATATCTTGTCTAACGAAGTGTAAAACTAGGGGTGGCCTGATAGCGGTCTTCCAATATTTGAGGAGCTGTCACCGAGAAGAGGGGGGGTCAACTTATTTTTCAAAGCACTTAAGGGCAAGGCAAGAAGTAATGGATAAAAGCTTAACAAAGAAAAATCCAACCTAGCATTAAGGAGAATTTCCCTGTCAGTTAGAACAATTAATCACTGGAATGGGTGGGTGCTCCGTGAGTGGAGGTTTTTAAGAAGAGATTACATGGCCATGTGTCCAGAATGCTACGTCTCTTGCTTGAGCAGGGAGTTGAACTTTAAGATTACCAAGGTCTGTAACACAATGATCACTGCAAATATATGGGGCTTTCTGTTGTTGTTTTTTTTCCAAATGAAAAACTTCTTAATTTCCCACAAGATATTTTAACATGGGTAGGAGAGTATCTTTGAGTATACTAAGAAATTCTACAGCAGCATGACTGACAGAGGAACTAGAACTGATTTGCACATTCAGTTTAAAACTTCTGTTTTACACAAATGCTTCTATTACGTTTGACAGCAGAAATCCAATGGATTAGTTCTTTGCATTTAATTTGCAGGATGCACAATTCCCCAAGGCCTTGTTTTGTTTTCTGTCTTCATATAGACATCAAATATTTTCCCACACAAGCTCTTGATGCCACTATGGCATGGCAAAATTGCCAAATGTCTACAATGAAATTTCTGGTAAATTTTTTGAGTCCTCTCCTTTCTGCTCTTCACTGTTCAGCTACTCCAATTTACTGGTTGTGTACTGTTTTATTTCTCCAGGAACTTTTAGGAATCTGGAATTAAGCATTAAAAGAAAAATCAACTTTTTTTTTTCCTGATGATTCAATACTCTTTCTGTCCCTCCCGACTCCTTTCAGTAATACACACGGATACACACAAAGACACATAATCCAGGAATGAAAAGCTATTGATCTGTATCTATTAAAATATTTATGTTAATGCAGGAAGTCAAAGAGTGTTACAATGGATATGCTAATATCCCTGCTTTGTTATATGAAAAGATGCTTTAAAATGAAAACCGTGTTTCTAATCCTATTTGCATAGAATTTCAAAACACATTAGTCAAGTATTAAAATGCAATTGTAATTCATTTTGTTGACAAGGGATTATGGTCCAGAATTTCCAAGATTCAAAGGATAAAGTTGAAATGGAGGAAAAAAATCCCCCCAAATAATAAAAGTTATTGCACTTAAACCTGTCAATCAAGATTATTTAATTATGAAATTTATATAGCCACCCATCTCACCTGGTATTCCTAGGTGGCTCATGGCAACCAGGAAAAATATCAACAGAAAAACATATCACACTTTTCCTATCAAGATAACAGATCTTGTTAATCCTCTGACTCAACCCCTTGGGCAAAAATCAGCAAGGTGTGAAAAAACATGAACTCTGAGCAACCAAGCAGAGGCAGGAAGGTTCTTTCCATCAGAACAGCTTTAGAAATAACATGGGGAAAATTCCGTTTTTTTTCCTTTTCTTTATTCGTTTGCTTTACATTCCCAGAGGAGAGGTATCTCTTCAGACTGGCTTCTTATCAGGAAAGAAAACACCTCAACCCAGAGAAGGGTTTTTTTTTTCCTTTTTATTCTTTTGCCACTGTTTTCAATTCTGAATAAGTTTCATAAGCTTAATCTACATAATAAAAGATTTGCATCATCTTCTCATTTCTGGTATCAATGGGGTCAAACAGGAAACTTGGCCTTTCACACATCTCAGCCATTTGATGAACAAACCATTTGAGAGAAGAATTTTTATTCTGTTCCTCCGAAGTAAAGTTGCAGAGAGCACCTACTGAACAAGGGCTGTGAGAGGGGAAAGGAGCAGGAAGCCTCAGGGATGGATCTTCACCTCACCTGAATAATAATTTCTGCCCAGCTTCCTTTTTGATGAGGTTGAGTTTATAATAATGCCTCAACGCTCTTGACATCTTCTCATATGTCATATTCCTTCGGTTCTGAAAATTGTTTAAAAATTGTGATTATAACTTCAATTTGCTTTCTCTTGCCTAATTACTAATTTGAATTAGAAAAGAGTTGTCAAGAAACCTGCATGCAATAACCTCTTTCAGTGGAGATCGGGTGGGAATTATGTTAATAAATTCCTTGTTTTACATACAGTTAAAATACCAGCTTTGTGAATTAATTTAGAATTAAAAGAAGGTAAATGGGAAGCACTCTGGTGCAATGATAAGACAGCAAACTTAAGATCTAGGAAACCCATATTTAAGTCCTCATTCAATCTCTAATTGACTCTGGCCAGTCGTAATATTTCAGCCCAACTTATTATGCCAAATCTGACAATTAAATGAGGAATGCCAGTGCATGCTACCTTGAATTCTTACAGGAAAGTCAAGGCAGACATACTACTGTATAATAAATACATGCAAGTACTCCCTTTGTCCCAGGCTGTATCAGATCATCTTGTGTACCCTCCTTTAATCTGTCCTTGTAAAAGTCCTAGAAGCACAATGTCTGATGCTCTAGATGATGGAGATTATACTTTAACGTTATGAGAGCCAGGCTGGGAATGGCTAGACTGACTCCTGTTGGAATATTCCAACTGGTCATAGTTCATTATGAGACCAGGATCAGGATATTCCCAGCTCTACTTTTAGCAAGAATGCTAAATCTCTGGCAAGTGAAGAGACAAACCTTGGGAATATAATTCCCACAGTTTGGGAATATAATTCCCACATCTTGGGAATATAACTTTGTTAAATTATCTCCAAAGAACATAGGGGGACTATGGGAGATGTACAAATTGGTGCCCTCCAGGAAGGCTGAGAGTGCTAGTCCTAATCAGCCCATCCGAATAGAAATTTATCTCTACTTAAGGAGTTTAGAAGGATCACCTTATTTAGTACCTTGTGATTACCCCAGAGTCCAGCAAGGCCACGGGGATTTACAACCCGAAAGATCTTGGTTTCTTTGTCTTCCCACTTGATAACTGATTCATACTGGCTATCAGAGAGGAGCCGGTAGATGTAATCCAAAAGTAACCTACAGTCTGAGAATTAGTTACATTGAGAGAAATGTTGTTCAAGACAGAATAACATGGATTAGTTCCTGCTACACTGCATCACTGTTAAAGACAGCTGTAGGATGCATTTGCAAGTGGCCATAGCTGAGTAGTGAATAAAGTTGGATTCCCATGCTTCCAAATCTGTGTTATTAACCAGTGGCGGGAGTGGAGCAAATACTCTTGACATATAAGAACAGGTAAGCATTCCTGTCAACCACATAGCCAAAGAAAAACAGATCTTGGTAACCTTACCCTTACCTGATATTTTTCCCCTGACCAGAGCAGCAGATTTTACAGGAAAAGAGCAAATGTTTCCACCATGGCTGATCTCTGGGTTGCTATAAGCAAGAGGTGTCATCCCAGGAGTAGACAGTGTCTTGGTGAAAGACTGAGATGAGTTCGAGTAACCTTCATGACTAGTGAAGGTCGTTGGATATTCTGAAGGCAACACAGGGACCTTAGCTGGGAAATCTTCTAAATTGCACTTGGTACCTGTGAGAAGAGATCAGATTCAAAACAGAGATTCGGACCATTTCCTAAGCCAGCCCTCTTCGATCTGGAGCTCACTAAGTATAGTGTAGCAATCTGAAAAATACCAGCTTGGGAAAGGCAGATCTACACCTAATCAACTGGAAATTGATGTAACAGAAGGTACTGCAATTAGATGCATTAGCTGTGGTTGTTTTGCTATGAACATAGTCAACTTTGAAGTCTGTTTGGTCACATATTTCTTTTATATGAAGAAAACTCTTAACCAGGTTTGTCCCAGGCTATCCGTGCCTAGACCAATTCTTGAATATTTTGTAAATGTTTATGATAGTGATCCATACAAATTCATTATTTACCTAAACTTTACTATAGGCAGCAGAGAGACAGATACATTCAACTGACTGAGTCAGAATACTGGTTTGCTTAAGCTAATGCCATCCTAACTGATGTATCAATGGAAAAGACATAGAGCAGGAACCACTTCCTGTGGTTTCGCTATAAAGATCATTTAGTTTACTTTCATTTTAACTCCCCAACTGTTCTTTTTTTATATATTTTGAGTCATATCTTGAAATTAGAAAGTTATGTGAAGGAATGCTTTGCCTACAGAACTATAGTTGACTCTAGTGATGTTAGAGATGACTCCTGAGAATGCCTTAAATAAAGAATACTCGATGAATGCATCAATTCAGAGTTCCCACCTGAGGCACAACTACTATTTTGAATACATTGTACAAAGTACCAGTTCCCTTGTGAAATTTCTAATGTTGGAAAAGATAGACACAATAAATGAAGAGATGACCAGAAGCAAGTTGGATTGACACAATTTCAGCAGTGATGGGTACACTAAGGGCCAGTTTGGGGAAGGGCCAGTTTGGGGATATAACATCCTGGAGACAATCTATGTGGTCACTAAGGGTTTTCACAGACTTGATGGCACACAATCAGTTGAACCCGTTCTGTCAGTATGGTAACCAATAAGCTGATGAACATTAACTCTGCAAGATCTCAGGAAGAGGTTAATTCCTAATTTAGGAAATGAGATGCTGAAGCTTGTATATGAAACCATCTGGAGGATCAGTATGGATTTTGCTTGTGTATCCTCCTGTATAGATATTGGCCCAAAATGTGAGCCAAAGATTAACTTGCATGATGCATATAACCACTGTTCCACAGCACTCACCTTCTGCAGTGCTCTGGGTCAGGTTATGGTCTGCATCCCAAAAGGAAATGTTAAAGAGAGGGCTACACACAAGGGCTCTTCTCTGGGTCTTTATGTATTGGAGTAATTCATATAATACATCTCCTGTGAGAAAAGAAACATAAATACCAATCCCACTCCATTTCTTTCAATACCAACTGGTGACAAAAATGATGCAATTTTTGAGTACCTCTACCCCCTCCATTTGCTGTTTATTTCAAAAGGACTATTTCAACTATTTCAGCTTGAGCAATTTCTAACATTTGCAAACCAGAAAAATAGTTTTGTTGCACACGTTTGTGGGAACCTGAAATTTTCTGTTAAAACTTGCAATACATTCAGTACATTTAGCACAAATTAATTTACCTCCTGCCCCAAGAAAGCACAGTTTGAAAAAAAATGTATTAATATAAACATGATCAAAAAGCCACAAGGGTAACCTGATTCTTTCCATCAGACATCTATCACATTGTAAAGCTGCTTGACCCATGGACTTTGGTTCAACCAATAAGTTCTTGTCAATAAAACACAATTTGGAAGGCAAATCTATTTCAAAGGAGATTAGAAATGTCATGCATCTCACAGTCTTGAGTTATTCCTCATTTATACTTGCTACATGGGATAATTCCAAGATAAGAGTGCAAACACATAAAGCCTTGACCAAGGAGGGCAACACTTCTAACCTGAATTAGGAGCCCGAAATTTGAAATCTTCCTTGGTGAGAATACAAAGGGCTTTTCCATTCATTTCAAAGTTACTATCATCAGATTTCCGGAGTGAATATTCTTTTTCAGCCCATCTTAGCCAGTGAATCACATCATCTTTGTTCCATAGAAAGGGTTGGATTCCTGAAATCAAACCAGGTTATATGTAAATTAACATACCTACCCAGTCATTTTTTTGCCCTTTTGGAAGAAGCATAAAATGTCTCAAAAAGCAAGTAAAGGACATCTCAGCAAATTATTATTAGAATTCGTTTGCTCCAACTAATATCACTCTCCATAAGTTTTAAAGATAAGTCAATAAATTTTCAAAAAGGGATTTTTTTTTACAAAAAAAGAATATTCTTTGTGGTAGGAAGCAACTTTACACCAGGTTCAATTAATTGATAATCTACTCCTTGTTTCCTGAACTAGATGTCTTCAAGATATATCAGCCTAGAATCCCACCAACTGCAGGCAATTTTTTGCCTGGTCTAATAGACTCCAACTCAAAACTATAGCTGGGGAATACTGGAGTTGTAGTCCAAACACAACTAGTTTGTATAGTGTTGTCCTTACATTAGGGGCAGGTAACACTTTCTAAGCCAAGACTGCTTAACCACAAACGGTATACAGTAGTGGAACTGCACTCCAAAAAGTAGAAAAACCAAGCTAAAATTTAAATTAGATTTAATTTAAATGTAATCAAAGTAAAAATAAACTCATTTAATACAGATAATAAGAAGATATATATGCAATCGTCTGTTTAGTGTCATATTAAAATTACAACTTGGTGGCGCTGCTCGGAGAAGCCTGTAGAGCATATATCCAAGGCTTTAAGGAACCATCTTTGAAAAGCTGCCTTAAATAATACCTCTTCTACTCACTGAGTCGGCCTGGCAAAGTGCAGATTTGTCCATCATAGAGCGACTTTACTGATGCCTTCGAAGTAGGGTGCAATGGTAATGACAAAGCTGATGTGGCCACAGGAGTCAAAGAGCCATCTGCCACTTCAACCTTAAGGGAGGAGAAAGACACTGAAGCCATATAGATTCCCTACAGGAAATCAGCTGTATTTCCCCAATGCCTCTTTTGTTATTCTGTACTGCCTAAAAGCTGGATAAGTAAGAATCTATGAAGGAAAATGTTCGTAATGTAACTAGAACCAATTATGCTTCAGCAGAAAGTCTGCTGGATAGGCTGGAGAGAAACCCAGGTCAATAATTGTCCTTACTCTTTGTGTGAAAACTTGGATCAACAATTGTCTCCAAAACTAAACTATACCCCAGAATCGCGCCATGCAAATAAAATGAATCAAATACACGGAGAAAGGATGAGATGAAAGCTGTAGACATATAAAAGAGGGAAAGCATTAAGTAATTAAGAAAAAGTTATTGGGCATTCCTAGAATAATTTTTGAAAACTGTAGGCTGGTGAAACTGTGTTTATCAAGGAGAGAGGATGCAATTGGGGTGATTACAATGGCAAGCAAGACAAGAGAAAGAGAGAGGGAGGGAGGGAAGAGAGAGGGGAGGGAGGCAAGATGGCTGTGATGGTGAGATGGAAGTGCCACTGATTTTTATGTTTGTCACATTTCATCATTAAAACCACCATCTTAATTTATTTGGCCACACTCTATGGACACTCCTGAAATCTTGAAAAAAAGCAGCTGTAGATTTTAAAACTCAATAAATCAATAAATACCTAAGTTTAGGTATTGCACCTAAGAGTAGAGTTCACCAAATATTTGATGAAGTAAACTCTAATTCATGAACATATATTCCATAATAAACAAATTGTGTTTATTCTTCATTGTATCACAAGAACCATTGTTGATTTTGCAGCTGCAATTCTTTTACCATTGCATGCATGTCTTATGTAGATTGACTTTTTAAAAGTTTCAGATTCATTCTTAAATACTAGGCAATAAAGAAAATGAAAGATGCCCACACACTTTCATTTCAGTTTTGTTCTGGTAGCTTGTTTAAAAAACTATTTTTAGTACTGTATTTTAATTATAATGGTATAGCATACGGGGTGTCATTTTTACTGGTCTGATATTTTATATATCTATATTTATACATATACCCACTTTTAATTTGAGTGTAAATTGCTCCATCCTGCCAAGCAGCATATTAATCCATGCAACTAGCATGTAAATAAGTAAATGATTTCCAAATATCTTTTTTTTTTCAAAGAAAGAGTAGCATACCATGTCGGTGTACACAACAATAATGCCTGGTTTAAAGAAGTGTTCCCACAGATGGTGTTCAGTTGTCTTCCTTCTCCAATTGTGGAAGAATATCTTGACTTACAAAAGATAAGGCTTCCACAGCTTCTCATACACAGGAATGCATAACCTACATGGTCTTCAAGACCAGCATTTTTCAGACATGTTAACTTTAAGATGTGCAGAGGTTCAATTCAACTTGCTGGCTGGGGCATTCTAGGAGTTGGAAGTTCACACATCTTAAAAGTTGCCCAATCTGAAAAACACTGGTCTAAAGCAGAGGGCTAACTGGGACAGAAAGGGAATACAGGGAGGAAATAAGGTCGCCCTTATCTGAAGTAAATCGTCCCAATTAGGCACCATCCTTTGTGCTAAAGTACAATACCCATAATTCCCAACAGTGGCATGCTATGAGTCCCATTCATTAAGGAATGCTGGCTTCCAGGGACTAAGAGTCTTGCCTTCTATCAAAGCTCCTGCCCTCTGGAACATTCTTCTTTCAGAGCCGAGGATGGCCCTGGCCCTATCGGCCTTTCGAAAAGCCTTGAAGACTTATTTGAGATGGGCAGCTATAGAAATTGATTGATTGGTTGAATCAATGAATAAATAAACATGCCCTGAAGCAATGCTGAATGGGAATCACTGCAGCACAACCCAAGACCCCAGGTTGAGGAAGGCTGGTTGAAAATGTACACTTAAAATTGCTCCTTTCCACTTTCTACCCCAGAGTTTAAGATAGAGGGAAGGATACAGCCCAGATTTTTTTTCTTTTTAAAAAAGTGTTTAAGTTTTGCTTGCATGAATCTAGCCTTAAAATATGTGATCCACTATTTTCCCATTTGAAACAGCTTCCTTAACTCACACACGGATTAATTTTGCCCAACCAAACGCGGTTTCTCAAAGAAAACAGCTAGTTGCTTAACGTCTCCCTTTTCTTGTGAAAAGCCTGGGGAATTCCGAACTTTGTCCATTTTGAAACGTTTTTCTTTTGAACCACCAGAGAAATGCTTTCCGTGGATACAGCCTAGTCCACAGAACCCCAACGCTTTCTGAAACATGGCGAGACGCTGCCCTCCAAACGCCTCAATGTATCCATCCCGTGTTTCCAGCCCGTATGAAGGAGAGAGAGATGTGGGAACCAGGGAAGCCGCCCGGGTCAAACCTTGGCACGGATGGGCATTGGGCGAGAGGACGTGACAGAAGGCGCGGAGCCTACGGGAATCTAGGGCGCTGAGGGAGGGCAGAGAGAACAAGGGAAGATGGGGGGGGGGGTCAGACAGAGCACCTGCTGCTCTCCCCCAAGCCCTTACCTGCATTACAAGGGGAGGCGAGGGGAGGGGGAAACCGCGGGGCCAGGATCGTCCGGATGCGCGCAGAATCCTATCCAATTCCCCTTCAGCCCAGGCGGTGCTCGCTGTCTTTCTGGAAAACGAAAACGAAACGCGCCTCTCCGAAAGGTGCTGGAACTTGGTCTGTAACGCAGCCGCCGTCCGCACTCGGAGCGACCTCTGAGTCAGCCAGAGTCTCTCTCTCTCTCTCTCTCTCTCTCGCCTCAGCGCTGGCTTATTCTGCCCCTTGGCGAACCTCCCGCGGACCCCTGACGGCGCTTCCAAAGACCCGAGCTGCACTTCCCTCTCCCGTAAACTCTCCAGACGGGGTTGGGTTGACCTCGTGTGCCCGCTCGGCTTGCGATTTCGAACCCCAAAACCAGGGCCGTTGCCCTGAGGCAGGAAAGCCCAAGCGAAACTCTTGCCGGAAAGCTGATTCACACCCCTCACCCCACGCCCCCAAACGCTGGTTTATGGCACGGAGTCAAACCAAGCCAGCGTGCTAATATTTGTTGTATTTAATTCCAAGGAATATCTGGAATATCAACTGGTGCCTTTCAACAATACCGCGGGTGCAGGTGCACTTCGCGTTCGGAGTCATACCTGAAAAATAAATCAATTTAAATAACTTGTATGCACATTGTGTATCGCGGTATTTTACTTCTCCCTGGAAGTTAACAAATAAAGTTCCATCATAGCCAATCAAGTCAGAGTCCTCTTCAGTCTAGGGCAGGTTTTCATAACTTTTTCTGGCAGAGAGGGTGTGTCATGTCCTTTCTACTTTTTGAAAAGTAAGTGAGTATAGGACAAAAGTAGTGAAGCCAGGACAAAACTAAATCTAGTTAAACTCACTATAATTAATCCTCAAGTTTCCAAACTGTTCTTTTGACCCACTTAAAATGTGAAATGGCTGGCAACTTTCGGGGGCCACCTGGCACCTCAGGTGGTAGGGGGTAATTCTCCTTTTGATACATGAAGGGAATTGTGCTGACACACAAGGATAGAATCCTTGAGTTACTTTTGGTCTATGCTACTACCGTAATAGAGATTATCCTGATAATTAAATGTGATCAGTTTTGAACAACCAAATTTGCTTTTTCTTGCTGTAAACCACCTTACAGATTTATTACAGATTCGTGTAATATATAACCAAACAATGTACTACTTGAATGAAAGGGTGAGGTTCCAGGAACTTTGCCAAAATCTCATTATCAACCTGATCAACCTAGATCGGTCAATACTGTTTAGTTTTCTGGGCATCAATGAATGTAGGAAATGAAGTGACTGCCAATCTACCAACAGTTTACAATACATTGAGAAGACACTATTATTGAATTGTAAAATTACCAGATCTAGAAAAGTAAAACCTGAATGATCTCTAGATGCAGCAAAGGATTAACATTGTCTGATATATTTAATATTTTTTTCTGCCCTCTAGCGAGTGTCCAGATTTTTGTAGCCCGGGTCTGGCAACTTTTATAAAAGTTAATGGTACTAAGATGAATGTGTTTACACTTGTGATGGCCTTTGGCAGAGCTGATATGGGATGTTGCATCTATCCTTATGCTCTTTCACTTCATAATGGCTTTTTTTTAAATAAAAATTTATTAATTTTCAATAAACAAACATACACAAACAAAACACAAAACATGAAAACATAAAACTTCTTTTTGGAAAGCGGCTTAGTCCCGGGTTACATCTTTTTGTACAGACATAAATCAAATTCATGCTCACTTTGTATACCATTTCATATCTTATTTACCATTCTATATTTTCTATATGGCTTCTCCCCTCTTTTCATTCTCTTAATTCTATTTTATATATTTCATCTCAATTTAAATCATTATTCTTGTATCTTTTGTCCGTTCTGTAATTATCTACTTATCTTTTCTCTTTAACACATAATTTCTCCTGCAATCACTGATTGAAGTATGACGCTTTTATATCTTTCCCCTAAATTTAACGCTTAAAATAATATATAATTTTCATTCTGATTCTGCTTATTACATTCTAAAGCTACATACTACATTTTAAAATAAGAAAATAGTAAGTTTATAATATAATTAAAACAATAATCCATAACAAATTAAACTATCATTAAATCTTAAGCATTTTACACATTCCCTTTAATATTTTATTAAATCATATAATGTTCCAGTTTTCTAACTTTATTTCAAATACAAATACAACAGTACAGTCTTATGTACTTTTGCAGAATCTCTTTTTTAATTATGTTTTTACCCTTTATCTCTGAAAAAAACCTGTTTCTTTACATCTTATTTCAAACCTTTGTAACTTCTCTTCCTTTTTTCCCTTCCTTTCTTCTCCGATCTAGCCTTTTTACCCCCCCATCTCTTGATCTCCACCCTCTTAATCTCCACTCTCTTCTGCATTCCTCTTTTCTGTTGCTTTCTAACATTGTATCAATTTTTCACCTTATTTTTCCCTTTTTTGGTTGTTCTTTTTAGTCTTAAATTCTCCATTCTCTTTCCCCTCTTTCCTTTTTCTTCCCCAGCTAAAGTTGTTTATTCATTAAAGATGGCTTCTTATTCTTCATCCCAGTCTTCTTGTTCTTGTAATTCCTGGTAGGTAGAAATCGCCATTTCTAAGAAATGAAAAACAGATCCGGAAGAGCCCTTCTCTTCTTGTTCCTCTTCTTTTAGCTTTTTAAATTCCATTTTCAGTTCTTCAACAGATAATGCCATTGTGAAAGTTTTTTAAACAACCCAAATGTTTTTAATCTTTCAAATAATAATTTCCAAAAATCCCAAAGTCACCAAGCAATCCAAATAAACACAAGCTGTTTTAGCACTTTCTTCTTTTTATACTTTCTCTTCCTGGGGTACAGTTCCAAAATGTATCTTTTAGAAGTCTTGTTACAGTTTAACTCTGATCTTATAAGCTCCAAGCAGCCTCCTCCAGAGAGGTCTTAATATTAATTCTTTACCTCTCCCTTCCCACTTATAGCAAAAAAAGAATTTTTTTTAATTCCAATGTTCAGAAATCTTTAATGTCCCCTTGGCTTTGGTTTTCAAATTTGATTACCTGTTGATGCCAAAACGGGTTTTTCCGATTTCCATCTGCTATCTCCGTAGGGAAGGAGAGTGAGAAAAAACAAACTTTCCCTTTTAACTTTCATCTGCCACTTTTTACGATCTTCTTGGGAACAATGTATCTTTAATGAAGTTAAGTTTCCAGGGTATTTAGATGTTACTTGTTATCCCGGTTCAGCCAAAAACTTTCACTTTCTTCAGCTTCCTCCTGCACATTCTTGTCCGGATGAAAGTTTCTTTGTGGCGGCCATCGCTGACCGCCACTCCACCAGTTTTGGAAAAGGGAGTTTAGCCAGCTGAGGGGGGGGGTTGCATTTCCCCTGGACCCCTGCTGAATCTCCCCTATCTTCAGTCACCTCTACAGGGTAACTATTAGCCCCCAAATCCGGCTGGATCGGGGGCACTCCAGCGGCGAGCGCAGCAGGAACTGTGCACGATCGCGGATTCCTGCCACCACCGAAGCTTGCAAACCGGAAGTTTTTCCATTTCATAATGGCTTTTGATGCCATCAATCACAATATCCTTTTGGACCAGCTGTAGGGACTAAGAGTGGAGGATACCATTTTAAAGGGTTGTCCTTCTCCTTCTGTGGCCTATTTCAATTGGTGCCAATGTTGGGAAAATGTTCAAACCCAGATGTAATCTCTCTGGCATGATGTAGAGGCTTTGATTCTTTCCCCCTCCTGTTCAACAGCTAAATGAAACCAGTGCTTGAGTTTATGCATTGATTTGGGGTTTGGTATCATCAGTATACTATTCAATTGTGTGTTTTGATTATGGACCATCCTTGATTTTCTGTCAATCTTCTGTCCCAATGTCTAGAGAGGCTGTGAAGAATTGATCCTGGGAAACTTCCATCTCTATAGTCTTGGATAAGGCAGCATTATCCTTTGAGATGAATGGGCAATCTGGGAGTAGCTTTGGATTCAAACTCCTGCTTGAGGAGGAGATAACAGTTGTCGCCAAGAGTCTCTTCACATAGACCCATCTAATGTGCTTGTTGTACCTGTTCCTGATTTGGAAGACTCTCCAGATTATTATTCATGCTCTAACCACCTCCTGAATAGACTACCATTTTGTCTTGTGCGGTGTATCTTTGAAAGCCTACATTTGGTCTAGAATGTGGTAGCATAGTAGTAATTAGTAGTAATGCCATAGTTTTGGGCAGCATAAAACTAATGGTTTCTCTGTCTGTCTGCCTGCCTCTCTCTCTGTGTGTGCGTGTTTCTATTGTTTTCTATGGTCAAAATATTTTGGATTTACAGAATTGCTTTTGAGTTTGTTCTGTCAATATATACCTCAGACTTTTTTGATGAGATATTTGGGTGAATGTTTTGTTTCAAGCTCAAAATGGCAGTTTTCATTTCATATTTGAAAATTGTAAACAAACAAACAGGAACCTCATAGCAAAGAAGAGCATCAGCCTCAACCACATCTTATTTCCACAAAGATACTACATGCAACCCAGTTCCCAGAAACAGAAGATAAATCTTGTAGGTGACTAAAGCTCAGGCTTTCTTTGGAAAATAAAAATAGATTGAGCTAGTAAAGAACACCTTTGGGAGGAAGAATGGGTAGCAGGAAGTAATTTCACTAGTTTGTGACCAGCCATTGGTGCTTATGCTTATTGCTGGAAATTACTGAGGGGAATTTCCAGTTTACTTCGTATCCTGCACATTCTCCGTCATTCTATCTAACCAGATCAGAGCAAGCACAGAAGCCGCTCAGTTTGGCTAGCAAAATATCTAGCCTGATCTTTATTTATGAAACACCCAGCAAATGTCAAACAGAGTTAACTGGCAAAACCAGGATAAAAAGCAGGAAAAATAGACAGCAACAACAACAAACAACAGGCAACAATTTACATTATCTATGTACAGTATCTATATTTATCAAAAGAAGCAGGATTTTCCAGCACCACTGAAAATAATTCTGAGCCATGAAAGAAACAATCTGATGAAAGGGGACGATGTGTCCAACATTTAAGACATTTTCTCAACAAGGGTCCCTTGACAGTGAGATGCATCATATAAATTCAATAAATAAAATAAAATAAATTTCAAATGTACCCACTAACCCCAAAAATGTCAGGGGTGGGGGAGGAAGAGAAAAATATTCAGTTATGTTCACAGGGATACAGTATGTCAACATTTACAACACAGCAGGCATGGTACAATGATTTGTGTGTGCTTTTGCAGTTTCAAAGACTTTCTAGTCTCTTATTTTCTTTCACTTTCTGTTCACCTTCAAAGATTGAGGTCTCTGTATTAAATACATTTGTGTTTCCTAAGAATGCCATATATAGTCCACCATCCATCAAGCTCTTAGACCTTACCGCCAAAGAGGAGAGGTATATTTCTTTTTTACACAGTGCATATTCCATGAAGTATTTTCAGATTTATGAGTCACCAGGAGGCAGGCACTATGTGACTGGTTTTCTCCTACTGAGGACACATCAGATATAGTTACTGAGATTATTCTATGGGGCCCAAACCTTAGGCTCTGATGAGTTCTCAATACATGCAGTCCTCAACTTACAAATTGAGATGAAACTGGGAAATGAAAACACTACACAGTCTTCTCTCGTGCTTTTTAATGTGTTTATGGTAATAGTTAGGCTGCATTAAATAAAGGGATAGAATCAAGATCACATGAAGTTCTAGTTCCTCTTTACAAAGCCTTAGTGAGACCACACTGCATCCAGTTCTAGTCACCATAATATAAAAAAGACGTTGAGACTGTGGAAAGAAGTGCAGAGAAGAACAACAAGAACGATCAGGGGACTGAAGGCTAAAAACATATGAAGAACTGTTACAGGAATTGGTATGTCTAGTAGTCTAAGGAAAAGAAGAACTAGGGGTGACATGATAGCAATGTTCCAATATCTAAGGGACTCCCACAAAGATGAGGGGGTTAATTTTTTTCCAAAGCACCAAAAGATTACACAAGAAACAATGGATGAAAACAAACCAAAGAGAGAAGTAACCTAGAACTAAGGAGAAACTTTCTGACCGTGAGAACAATCAACCCGTGGGACAGCTTGCCTTCAGAAGTTGTGGGTGCTCCATCACTGGAGGCTTTCCGAAAGAAACTGGACAACCATTTGTCTGAAACGGTACTGGTTTCTCCTGCTTGAACAGTGAGTTGGATTAGAAGACCTCCAAGGTCACTTCCAACTATTATTGTATGTTCCATGCTTTAATGTTGTTGCTATTTTTTGTTGTTTAATTCCCTTGTTTTTGTTCTTAGGTTTTGCTTTTATCATCTTAGAAATATTTACATAAAAAGACAAGTCAATCAATCAGCACTTTCTGATTTCCTTCCTTAGTAGATAGCCACATTGTGCTAGACCATGGTTTAAGCATGGTTTATTAATAGACCACAAATAGTTGGATTCACACTATATTAAACAAACTTCAGCTAATAGACCATTATAGGGGGATTGCCTTGACATAAAAACCAAACAAATCACTTAGCTTATTGTATGATGGAATGTGTTTGGAATCATATAGAAATATTTTAATAAAAGCTTTTTTTTCATTACATTGTTAAACTTTTATAATGTGGTTATTACAGTAATAGTAACTGACGTGAAATATATTAGAACAGCTTAAATGTGGAAATAAATATGTCCCATAGACTCAGTGAAGTTCATCAACCTTATGGGAGATTTTAGAGAAGTTACCAACAAAAGAAACAAGATAGAGAGCAATTATCCAAGGCCAGGAAAGGATGCAGCTGCTCTGGTAAGAAGCTCCCAATAGCCCTGTCCTTTGTTATTAGAAAGCAACAGAAAAGGGTAGGGCCTTGATCATCCAATCCCATTCTCCATCTTTGCTTTTTGGACAGTTGTCCCTCTTCTGCAAGCACCCCTGGTCCATAAATTCTTGAAACCATATTGTGCTCTTTGAATCCAGACCTCTGCCTATTCCTACTGGAAAATGTCACTCCATTATCTCTGAGAAAGCCTGGAGAATAGGGGAAAATGTCAGCTCATTAGAGTTATATAGACTTCCACATGGGAGGGAAAAGAGAATGACCAAATTTGTGCTGTTCTGTTGTGATGCAAGCATAAAAGGAAGAGTTTGTATCATGATTTTACTAGGTGCCTTGAGGCATCATGGCAAGAACAGATTCCTATACAGCAATTTTTAAAAGAAAAATTTCAGAAAAGGGTCCAGGAAATATAAATTAATTGGCATTGGTCCCTGGGAACACTCAGGGGCATGCCAGAATCACAATTAGAAGTGGTAATTTTATTAGTGAATCCACTTCCTGCAAATATCATGTTAGCTGGGGAATTCTGGGAGTTGAAGTCCACTGATCTTAAACTCGTTAAGATTGAGAAACACTGGGAACCCCTCAATTAGAGAGGGCCAATAATGGATTAAGAGAGCAATATAAGATGAAGGAATAAAATACGCTATTTCATAATTGTTAAATCTATTTAACGATTAGAAAAAAGTCACCTTGTAGGGGAGTTGGGCGACATAAAAATTAGTACATTAATTTAATAAATAAAAATAAAAACAAATAAATAAATAAATCAAATAGTGATCGTTGCGATTTTGAGGCATGCAGTTTGAACTCTCATCCTTTGCAGGGCAGTATTCCGAGAGCAAAGGAGCTTACCGTACAGTACAGTATAAACATGCTCTCTCCAGTTTTCATTTGTTGGGCAGGGACTCTTAATTTGAAATAAGGCTCATGAATAATCATTTGGATTTGGAAGGGAGGGGGGATTGCTAAAATCTGTCTCTTCTGCCGCTTGGATTTATCCACATCCTTATTAAAAGTAGATTTCCAGGCTGCGGCGCTGATTCATTAGCTGGAATGCTTTAGCGAATGCCGGTAAGTAGATGCTAATAATTGCCTCTCTACATTTTTTATTGATGAACTTGAGTCCAGAATAGAAATTAACGTCGATTAGACCGAAGTTTTTCCACGCATATATTTAATTGCGGCCTGAAAGAAACAAAGTGTTTTTCAATCGTTTTGAGATTTCTGGCCCTTTAAAGCTCGATCGCATTACGTAATTGAGGCATGGAAAAAGTATCGGCGGAAAGGCTAAACATCAGAATGTAGAAATCTCTCTAGGACGGTTGAAACTGTCTATCAGAAAGGGGAAAAAATATAGGGGGAAAATGCTCGTGGTTTTGTGTTAGATGGACTGATCTTGCAAGGGAGGGCCTTCAAGGTGGAGCTCAAAGCGAGCAGGGACCTTGAGTTCGTTTTTCTTGCGGTCCTTCCTTAACAAAATCTTGGGGTTGGGCAGAGGTTGGACTCAGCAATGGCATTCCTTCTTCCAGAGCGATGCTCCTCCATGAAGAAAGAAAACCCTTCCCAAGGTTAATGTTTTCGTACATTGCAGCTTTACTGGTATCGTTCTTCTTTTAATTTTACTAGAATAATTTTATTAAGAATACAGGAAATAGGTACAAATAAATGGGCACAATAGGACAGGGACGGGAGGCACGATGGTGCACTTATGCACGCCCCTTGTTGTGTGCATAAATACAGAGATTTACTCTCACGTAATTCCGAGATGTGCGGGGGTGGGGGGGTGGGGTGGGAATACTATATTCGGATCCAAGTTCGTTTTTCTAGGGTGAATTATCTGTCAATTTGGCGGTGTTATTCAGAGAAACTGCTTTGGATATTAGGGTTTTTTTTTCCTAGCAGTGAACAAATATAATTTGAGACAGAGGTTTTCCAACACTATTTTAATAATTAATTTAAATTACGTGGGAATATTTTAAAATATATGTATTTTCTGTTAGGTGAACATAAAGTAGTCTGGCAGAACAAAAGGTAAAAAGCATTTTAAAAATCTAAAGTAATCTGGTTTTTTTAAATTGTCAAGGCAGACCAAGGAATAGTAGCAAAATCTGCTGTGTTGTGATAAACTAAGTGTACCATATTCCCAAATGGCTTGATGCTGTGAAATAAATCAGAGAAGCAAAACGATAAATCAGGTTTCAGAAATCAAATTCTGGAAATTTGAAAGGAAACACTAAAACATTACTCTGCTTTCTGTCACCTGAGCAAGTCTGTGCCTCAGGTCCTGATTAACAGGTAAATTTAAGGATTTAATCCTTAATGCAGGGGTGGGCAACTACTGTATGGCAACTTTACAACCTGAGGACTTTAACTCCCAGAATTCCTGTCTCAACATGGATGGATCTAGAATTTTGGAAGTTGAACTCCAAATAAAGCTGCAATAATTGCCTATCCCTGCCTCAATATCTTCTGTATTGATGAGATCAAGAATGTTGCATTTTTTCCCTCAACAGTCTTACCTCTACTGTTTCATCCAAGTCATTAATTACAAATTTGAACAGGGCAGACACAACATGGTGAATCTAGTTTTTACTCCACAAAATGACAGAACATTGCCATATGATGTTTTAATAGAACAGGAATGGGAAGTAACATATGAATCAGCATTTAGAGCATCACATCTCTAATCAGGTGGACCCATTGGTTTCTTCCAGAGAAAGACACATGGGAGAGTGCATATGATATTTTTTGTTGAATTAGTTGTAGTTTTAAATCATAAATGATAAGTGCCAAGATTGTCTTCTATTGATATTCATATAGTAGACGAATCCATTTCTTTTTCCATGACTTCTTAAATTTTTGAATATCTGATTTTGCATATTCTAAAAATGGATTATAAATTGCTGTTATTACATTTGTAAATAATCTCTGTAAAGGATCTTCCAGTGTTGTACTAAAGCCCTTGCAGCTGCCAGCTCAAACTTGGATTTCACATGCTAGTTTGGCTGAGAATATTGCCACTCTGCAGTGATGTTTACATTAAAAAATGCAACAATTTATCATTTGTCCCAATAAATAGATTTCAGATATTTACTTAATAACCCACTCCCATTTCTCAAATAAAAGCATTTTCTTGCTGTTTTGTGGTTTGGATTCACTATAGGTTAATCTTTGAGGATCTAGTGGGAGCTGCATGCCACACCTCTCCTAATAAATTAATGTGGCAGAAAGGGAAACACCATGCTTTGCAAGTTATTTGCAGTGCTCAAAATTTTCCATCCATTCTTCTGAAAAAGAAAGGAAGCTAATAATTTCTGCTTTCGGACAGTTAAAACTTCCTTGCTGAAAAATGAATGTTCCTCAAACCTTCTTGTCTTTCAGCTAAATATGAAAAAAAGCATTAAATGTATGGAAATATGTTTGTTGTATATATGACAAATTAGTTGAAGCAAAGTAATTTTTCTCCAGAGGTTTTTTATTCACCTGTCCATATCTGTTGCTGTTTAAGTATTAATGTTGTTTGGGAAGAGTTGCTGGTTCGGTAGGGCTCTTCCTTTTAATTATATGTCAACAGTATGGAAAATAACAGGAGAACAAAGTGAATCATCATCTCTGCTTCTGTGGTTGCAGAGTGAGTAAAGCTAGAAGGCTAGAAGAGCAGCCATTGTCCATCAATTATACAGTGATCTGAATTGCTTACTTCTCTTTATTTAGATGAGTCTTGCATTTCTATTTTTGTTTCTTTTATTCGTGCAGGATTTCTTTTAGTTTGTTAGTTTTTATCTTTTTAATTGTAATGTTTAAAATTATTATATATATTTTTTTTTCTAATATAAACAGCCCCGGTCTCTAGAGGGATATTCTTGGAAAAATTAGCTGTAGATGGCTTTATTGGATTGAAAAAGATTGGAGCTTCCCTAGTCCTAGAATGGGTATTCTTTTGTCGGCTTTACTTTTTTCTTCTCCATTTCATCTTTTTTTTCTTCTTCCCTGCAGATACTTGCTACGGTGGCAAGTGTCTGTGGTGACACAGTGGTTAGAATGTAGTATTGCAGGCTAATTCTGCCCACTGCCAGGAATTTGGTCCTCACTGACTCAAGGTTGACTCAGCCTTCCATCCTTCCAAGGTGGGTAAAATGAGGACCCAGATTGTTGGGGGCAATATGCTGATTGTCTAAACTGCTTAGAGAGGGCTGCAAAGCACTATGAGGCACTAAATAAGTCTTAAGTGCTATTGATAGCGCTACTTTGAATATATTTTACAAAGTCAATTACTAGAGTACCCCCACCAGCCTTCAAGTCTTTCTCATATGATACAGAGGTCCTCCCTGGAATGTGGCCTCTTTGCCAGCTGTCTGTACCAACAGTCGGTTCCAACTGCAGTGCTTATATCTAAGGACATGCAAGTTCATTACCAATTTGTCACCTCCTCCAATTTTCTCTAATGTGCCCTAATAAGAGAAGCAAAAACAACACCAGACTTTGTATAAACATAATAACTGCCTTGGATAACATAAAAATGGAATCAGTCCCTATCCTTTTGCTCTGACCTGGCTTTCTCTGGGAGAAGAACCAGCAAAAGGGAAAATAGAATTGTTGCACAGTGTCTTTCATTGACAATGTTGCCTCAAAATTTCCTTTACAGTTGACAGAATGCCCTAAAATAGTCCCAATTTGATATAGTTGCAGGGGCAGACCATGAAGAAATTGAGGTGGAGATAGCTCAACTATGAGGACAACATGAAATCCTACTCTGCAAACATGGAAACTTCAGGTTCTTGGCTTTAGTCTAAACCACAAGTTCTTTCCCAAGCACGGTTTTCAGAAAATCTTTAGGAAGTGTCTTTGGAGATTCTCAGTCACCCAAGTCATGATTGTCCCAAAGGTGCTTTTTCAAAAGGTAACTAGGCTTTCTTTGATTTTTCTTGAAGATGTTTTGCTTCTCATCTGAGAAGCTTCTTCAAAAAGCCCAGTTGCCTTTTGAAAAAGCACCTTTGGGTCAGATTTAGCAAGGTTTCTTGAGAAGAAAGGCACGGGGTACAAGAATTTCAGCAACTGAATTATATCCCATGGGCAGCCAACATATTCCTATCATATGTTATGGTGGAATCTTCCCTTGTTTCTTTTTTCTTCCATTATTTCTTTTTTCATGTTTCCAGTCTTTGTCTGGAAAGCTGGTGATTGACGATTTAATGATTGTTTTAAAAAATGTCTCCTGAATCCTTGTCAATCCGGGAACTAATCCATACAGAAGCACTAAGCTCTGGAAGCAATTCTGTAGCAGTTATAAATATATCCTGATAGAAATCTAATATGTTATAATGAAACATGAGCATGCCTTTAATATTTCCATATTGGGACAAAGTGTAATGTGAGAGGGCAAGCAAATCATATTAGGTTTTCTTGGTAATACTTAAAACTGTGTGTACTTCAGAAATAGAGAATGATTTTTTTTCAAGGCTTCTCCTCCCAAATGCCATTGCTTTAAGAGCTGCATTAACTTTAATAGTAGATATCTTGAAATATCTGCATGTTTTCAGACCTCTGCATATTGCAAAGCATTTCCTTCACATCATTTTTGGAAGCATATACAGAGTATACTATATAGTATAAGAGTACACTACAGAGTATACTATATCTAGTAACCATTCCCCTCTATTCATAGTTCAGACTAAGCTGCCACATGCCTTGTTTTGATTTTGGTTTAGCCCGTTGTTCAAATACAGCAATTGTGCTTAGTTCAATAAACCATAGTTGATCAAGGCTTGGCATTATGTGTAAAACCAGGCACTATTATATACAGTATACATACAAAGACTGAATGTAATATGTTAATCATAAGTAGAATTCCAAAATTCATTAAGCACATACGATATCTTCCTTATGTCAAGTTGCAAAAAAAATTAAAAGTTTGAGTTTGTTGGAACTTCATCAAGCCAGATTAGGGTTTCATTGACAAATAATATGTCTCAATTTCTATAGCTGGTTAAGCCATACTGTAATTTGATGATGATTTTATGTAAGAAGATGAAGAGCCAGAATGGCAAATCCCTGGATCAAAATCTATGTAAGTTGCATGTTGTTTATGAGACATGCAGTGAAATATGCTGTGTTGAGAAAAGAAATTCAACACATTCATATGTCAGCCATTGTCTCATGATACTATTTATAGAACTGGATTTATTTTTAAATGTGAGTATGTCAATAGGACAGTTTGGGTTGTAAATAAAAATGGTTAACTGGAGGATTGGAAAAATAAATGATATTTCATTTATGACATGATCTTAAATATTGTTTAACACATTGTTATTAGCTACTAACTTAGAAACTTAGGTGTTATTTGGCATTATAGCTAAAAGAACCAGTTTAGTGTAATGGTTAAGGCACCAGGCTAGAAACTGGCTGAGTATCAGTTATAGTCCTGCTTTAGGTACAAAGCCAGTTGGGTGACCTAGGAAGTAGGCAATGGCAAATCATTTCTGAAATCTTGTTGCTAGGAGTCAAGACTAACATAAACCACTTCTCTCCCCAAAAGATGCTGTTTGCCATTTTAGTTTCTTAGAACCAAGGACTTGGGCTAAGAAGGTATAGGCAGCATTATATGAAATAGAAAAGTGAATTCATCACAAATAGAGAATTGGTTTTCATTTATTTAATTTAGATATTTATTATTCTTCAAACAGCCTAGGGCGTAAGGCTAATGAGGCTGCTTCACAAAAGGCATTTTCTTTTGGATGGTGTGTAAATCTGAATACTAATGTCCATATCTCTTGTTCAGTTTGCTGTGTGTAATCTGCCGTTAAGCTTTCCAATAGGACACATCTAGAAGAATAGATATGTTCACTATCTGAAGGTGTGATGTGCTGCAGTGATTTTCTCCCCATTCGTGTGTAGAATTGTATGAAATCAATGTTCATAGTTACCTGTCTGTTTGATTGATTAGATGCCATCAAGTCATTGTTGACTTCTAGCAATCACATGAATAGGTTTTCTCTACAATGATCTTTCAGCTCTTCCATTGATGCACTCAGTATCACTGTACCTCAGTCTGTCTACCTTTTTGCTGGTCATCCTTTTCTTCTCTTTCCATCCCCTTACATAGCATTAGAGTTTTCTCCAGAGAGCTAGATCTTTGTAAAATGTTTTGGTAAATATAAAGGCAAAATATGAAAGAAAAACATTTAAACTCTTAAGAAAAAAAAAATCACATGTAATCACACACCATATAGTGAAATGATTAGAGAGGCTTTCTCAGCTTGGTGCTCTCTAGTTTCCGGATATACCTTGTGCAAGCTAAACATATCTCATGGGCACCAAATTGAGTCAAGCTGAGGTAAGAATATGCTGCTGAGACCTAAATTCTAAATTCCCATTCAAGTTTTATTGGGCGATGGTTTGGGCCATATTTTGTTGGAATCCATGAGCTGCAGAGTTAAAATTTGGATTGTGGAATTAAGATATAGAAAATAAGTAGGAACTTATCACACACATATAGTTAAGAGTCTTTGGCACCTTGTCTTTCTTTTTATGGGTGATATGAGATTCCAGGGCTTATATTGCATTTTCATATATTTTCTACATATTTTGTGTTAGCAAAGCATGCAGCGAGATCTTCAAGGGCTGCCTATGGCCTTAAGCATCTGCATGTTGCTCGAGGAAGGAATAGACTGAGATATTTTGTCTTGATGTAAATTCTTTTTTCCTTTCCTGTAGGACTGCTTTTCCAGTTGAATATTAGTCATGCTGATGGAATGGAGAAATTGAGTAATCAAGAACTTGAGAATTTAGCTTCTTCAATCCATGATCAGGACAAAAGCAGTGTAAAACAGGGCAGCCACAACATTAACATGTTTCCTTTGTGCAGAAATCATGGTAAGGACAAAACCATTTTTTTAAAGAATTAAAATGTACCAGAAAATGCGGTCTTCTCTTCCTCTTTGGGATCAAGTTATTAATGGCTGCATTTCCACAGAATCTTTAACCAGTTGTTGCCATACTGTAAAGAAAATGCACTGTGATATGCATAGCCCATTAGGTTATATTTGTCTTTTCTTGATAGTGTAAACCTAAATAGATCAATAGTAATCAAGTAACATGAGCCAAGTGTGAAAACAAAGAAATTACAGTTCTATTCCTAGATAAATTCATACCAGCTGTGTGAAAATTCATATAATTATAGACACATGAATGCAGAGTGTGAATCATTCTTCTGTATGATCAAACTACTACAGATCCTTAAACACAATAGTTTTATTATGTAATCAACCTGCCTAGGACATGGACCTGTAACAAAGGTTGGTCCATTCACAATTTCCAACTGGATTCTTCCATCTTTTTTATATCACAAGAAGAAAGCGTGGATCAATTCTGCATTGTTTTATATTAATTCAGCTAGAAGAATTTGTCCATAGGTATTGTAAGCCAGTTATGCTTTTTCTTATGACATTGGGGCATTTCTGCACTAACCCATAATTAATGTATTAAATATAGTTTAAGTGGCATGGTGGACTAGAGGTGGAGCTTTTGCTTCAAAATCAGGAGGCTGTGATTTCAATCCTAGGTAGTGGCAGATATTTATCTCTCTGGATGCAAAGAGAAAATATCTACCGTGAGCTCCACATAGGCATCAGGAAGGGCTTCTGGCCAGTAAATGCTCATCTTCATTCAATCGGCCCAACTCCACCCTGATGGAGGTGATAACAGGGTTATTAAAAGAAAAAATGTATTAAATATAATTAACCTCATTAACCAGTTTCATCTAGTAGTTAAGGCATCAGTCTAGAAAGCCAGAGATTGAGTTTTAGTTCCGTTTTAGTTCCATCTTTGCCACAAAAGTCAGCTGGATAACTCTCTCTCAGTTCTGTAATTCTCTCTCTCTCAGCCTAACCTACCTCCCAAGGTTGTTATTGTGGGAAAAATAAGAGGAGGAAGGTATGTTGAGTAGGATTTCCACCTTGAGTTATTTATAAAAATAATAAAGGCAAGATACAAATAAAATAATCATTTTGGGTAATAGATTAACTTTTAAAATCTAATCATTGGTGCCAATTATTCAGATGCTGTTCATATCTGATGTCTTTAGAAGAACAGTTCAGATCTGCTTTTCACCCAGCAAGTTCTCTATGTTCCAATGGCTTTGAATATGCCAATATTATTTTCTTCCCAGGTGGGAGTAAACGAAATCAAGGCTACTACAGTACACAAGAACAGTCTGGCAACAGTCCGAACAACTTGAGCAATAGTTCACAAGTCCAAGCCCCAGAGAAAGTGACTCTTATTGTAGATGGAGCAAGATTTGTTGTAAACCCACAAATGTTCATAGCCCATCCTGATACCATGTTGGGAAGGTAAGTGACTTCGGGTTGTACAGAATTCTAGAAGCTGTTCTGCATGCTTTCCTATCTTAGAGGTATGGCCAGTCTAAGCAGGACTCTGAATGGTATGTGTGAAGCTATATCAAGTGCTCAGATCCAATTTTCCTATTCAGTGTTAGCAATTCAATCACAAATTCTAGGCTTCAAAAAATAAAAACTTTGTAAAATCTAGATAATTTTCATGAGAGTCCCCAATAACAGCTTGCTCATATAGAAATTATTATTTGCTAAAGTGGCCTTAATCTGATCTATGTACCTTAATTTCTTTCTGCTTTTCAGAATGTTTGGACCAGGACGAGAATATAACTTCACTCGTCCAAATGAAAAGGGTGAATATGAAATTGCAGAAGGCATCAGTTCTGCTGTTTTTCGGATTGTGCTGGTAAAGAATTCCATAATATTCCAGAAGCAGAGCTATTCCTTCTATTTGTAAAGTTGCATTCTTACTTTCAACTTCAAGGGAATTCTGATTTTCTTGATAAGTATTTTTTATTCTGTTGAGACTTCAGATTTTCCTCTCATTTTTCTCCGTTTAAGGGAACCAATATCATTTCATTTGTTGGATTTATATCTCATCTTCCCTCTCTAAGAGCTCACACAGTTACTTAAGGATCTTAGTGCATTTTATTCCCACAACATCAACCCTATTGTTCCATGGTGGTGCAGTGGTTAGAGCGCAGTATTACAGGCTACTTCTGCTGACTGCTGGCTGCCTGCAATTTGGCAGTTCAAATCCCACCAGGCTCAAGGTTGACTCAGCCTTCCATCTTTCCGAGATGGGTAAAATGAGGAGCCAAATTGTTGGGGGCATATTCTGATTCTGTAAACCACTTAGTTCTGTAAAGCACTGTGAAGTGATATATAAGTCTAAGTGCTATTGCTATTAGGTAGTTTGGTTGAGATAGAGTGATTGATCCAAAATCACCCAGTGAGTTAGAGTGATTAAGAACAGAGCTGAACCTGGAGCTGAACACACACACACACACACACACACACACACACAAACTTACATTATATAATCTTACATTTTCATTATATGATTTATGATTTATTCTGTATTCATTATTCAGGGAGGAAGGATATAGCACTATTAATGGTCAGCTTTTAAAAATAATATAGAAAAATTTGTCATTATGTGCCATTATATATAAAGCACAACAATATGCTTAAACTATCAGTAGATGACAGATCGCCTGGGCATGCTATTTTGAATGTTTTTGATGGGGAAACGTATTAATAATTTATCCCTTGACTTTTCAGGATTATTACAAAACTGGAATCATTCACTGTCCTGATGGAATTTCTATTCCTGATCTCAGAGACACTTGTGACTATCTTTGCATCAATTTTGATTTCAACACGATCAAGTGTCAAGATTTAAGTAAGTATAACAGCATTTATAACAGCCTTTCGCACACAAGTATTCTCCAGATATGCTGTCTTCAGTTCCATAATATTATAGCCATCATGGGTTCCTTGATCATGCTGGTTAGCATTTTGAGAGTTAAAGCCAGTCCCTTTTGGAGAGATTTAAAGTAAGGAACACTCATTTAAGGGAGTAATGTATCAATTCTCTATATGTTTATATGCTTTTATGTTTTGTGCTAGTTCTTGCTGTTGAGATGATATGAGGCTGATAGAGTTAGACCTATAACATTTAGCCATATTCAGAAAATCCATTTATCTATTTCCTTAGGTGCATTGTTGCATGAACTGTCCAATGATGGGGCTCATACGCAGTTTGATAGCTATCTGGAAGAGTTAATCCTGCCGATAATGGTTAGTAGTGCTAAAAAAGGAGAGCGTGAATGTCATATTGTCGTATTAACGGATGAAGACATAGTGGACTGGGATGAAGACTATCCACCTCCAATTGGGGAAGAATATTCACAAAGTAAGTATTTGTAAATTTTACATATAAAATACGTTTTAAAGTAAAAATAACATTGTACTTTTATAAAGAAAATCTCTGTTAGTGTCTTGTGCAAATATCAATTTCCAAGAGTCTGGGCATCCCAAAATATGGTTAAGAATATAAAAGTCATATTGATTGTGACATACTACACTGCTGAATGTAAAATTGTATGTTTAAAGACATATACCATTACAAATTACATAATATAATCCTTGCAACAAGGATTATATTATAGTTTATTAATTGCTTGGGTGATGGATAATTTCCTCGTTACAGCAATATTACATTGTTTCTTTTTCCCATGGGAAAAAAATACAGTGCTTCCTGAAGTTTCTGCACTGGTATTTTAAAAGCTCTGTAAAATATGAGTGTGAGAGTGCTATGGGTGTGAAATGCCTTACAATCAGACAGGGAGATCGGCGGCATATAAACCAATCAACCAGACAAAGCACCAGTCTAGAAAGCAGGAGATTGTAAGATCAAGTTCTGCCTTATCCATGAAAGTCAGCTGGGTATCTTTGGGCCAGTCAATGTCTCTCAGTCCAGCCCACCTTACAGGGTTATTGTTGTGGGGAAAATAAGAAGAAGAAGGTGCCTTCTGCCTGTTGGATAAAGGCAGGATACAAATAAATAATAAAATGCCGTATCTTAGTGAGGCAATGAAGAAATACGAACATATAAATCAATGCACTGAAAAGCTTCATAGACTTTTAGTGGGTAATGGTGCCAGGTCTACGTTGCATTTCAAAGCCAGCAGCAAAGACATAGTGGTGGCAAGACAGCACTTCTCTGCTCAGATGCCTTTCCAGATGTGTCCTTGGCAGAAAGTTACTAACCCATTGAATGGTTGATGGTGAGTGAAGGACAAGAGTTTCTGTAGAACATTAGCAGCTTGAAAAACAAGATAACAAACAAGATGCTAAACTCTTTGGGAAATTAAAAAAAGATAAGTTCTAAGAAAAACATTCACAAACAAAAGGCTATTACAAGCTCCATGAGCAAACTGCAGAATCAACAGAATAGGAAGGGAATGAGAGAGAAGCTTCATCAGGGCTGCAGTATTGTTTGGCAGAGCAGAAGGAGGTTGAGGCAAGAATTTGCTCTAGGGAAAATAAATCACATTGTGGCTGCTGAACCACAATGCAAGAATTTTCTGAGAAAAGCAGGAACTTCCTAATTTAAGGGAAAGAAGTAAACATTTCTGCTTTTCCAGAAATAAGAACAAGGGAAGAAATAGAAATTGTATGTGAGAGGAAAGCCTTTTGACATTATGAAACTGCCAGTCTTCCTTGTAGGCTAGTATAGAGTCTTTGGAAATCACCTGTATTTTCAACTGTTATTTTTGACAAAAAGTTGCCCAATTATTGTTTGTCTCAGCAAATTTAAGAATAGCTGTTGTACTCATATTCATTGATGCTGTACTCATATGCATTAATTAATTATGTGGCTTTTTTTTCACCTCCAAGTTTTGTATAGTTCTAAGCTCTACAGATTCTTCAAGTATATTGAGAATCGGGATGTTGCAAAATCTGTTTTGAAAGAACGAGGCCTCAAAAATATAAGAATTGGCATTGAAGGTATGTACAGTGTTTCCTAAGTAGTACAAACTGTTAAAAGGGCAACTAGCTATACTTTCCTTTTCGAAACATCAATTTACTGATTTTATTAGTCATATGTAATTTTGCTGGTTCCTTAAATGATAAATTTTGTCTTAGGAATGACCCACCCAGTCAGTTCCTGACAAACCCTTATGCTTAACATTCCTTGAGCTTTGCCTATTTTTGAAGTTTTCCATTAGGGTGGAGTGGGTGGATGTTATTTAAAGTCTGCTCCTCCCTTCTGAAATTAGCAGCACCAACTTGACTCAAGGCCAAGCTAGACATAATAGTTCAGCTTTGTGTACTGAACACATGAGTCAGTTCCATTTATATTTTCAGTGCTAAGAAAGTCTCTTCTTCGTGTCAGCTTTTTTCAGTCTAGTCTCTGCCTCAAGATGTCTTGGGATCAAACTTCCCAGGCCAAATGATCTCCTTTTTAGGAGGATATTATCAGTGGTGCGATTCAACCGAACTAACAACTGGTTCGGTAATTGCACACTTTGCGTGCACACCATTTTAAAAAGTCCATTTTCAGCTATATACTTACCATTTTCAGTGGAATACTTACCTTCTACTACAGCCCTGGTCAGTAAAACAGCTGAGGCGCAGCAGAACCGCTCTGCCACGTGAATTAGTTGTGCTCCAAAATAAGGAAATAAAGCATAGGAAAGGGGCAGAGGGGGAGGCGGGGGCAAATGATCACCGGAATTACTGGTTCACCCAAACCAGACCGAACTGGTAGAATCCCACCCCTGGATATTATCCTTTTAGGAATATTTATTACTTGAAGAAAAAATTAAGCTACATATGTAGGGGCTGAAGTTGGGGGGAGTTTGGGAGGATAATTATACCAGAATAACTGTGTTTTAGGTTACCCCACTTGCAAGGAGAAAGTGAAAAAGAGGCCTGGAGGACGCTCTGAAGTGATCTATAATTATGTTCAACGTCCATTCATCCAGATGTCTTGGGAAAAGGAAGAAGGAAAAAGTCGGCATGTTGATTTCCAGTGCGTTAGAAGCAAATCTCTAACAAACCTTGTAATGGCGGGTGAAGACATAGCAGAAGATCAAGAGATTATGTTGCATCACCCTCCCCAGGTAGACGAGCTTGATCGATTAAATGCACCACACTCTCAGATGGATGCTAATGAAGTGGCAGATTAATTAAGCAGCACAAATGGCTCTCAAATGGACGCAACTGAGCTTTTGGGTGGGGACTTAACGCCCAGTTCAGAGCCGAATTTTCTTGTCATGGTTGCTATAGTTTCCAAATATAGTCTCTTCAAGCCCAGAGGACTATTTTTTTTTTAAATTAAATTTGCTTCTTGAGGGTCCTCAGCATTCTCTTAGGAGAACTGGAAATCTGACGATTGAGTTAACATTTATCCCTGTGGCTAAATAATTGAATTGGAACTAAAAGAATGGAAACCTATTTTCAACTCACTTGAATTGAAAGAATTGATTGATTATGTAACATCAAGTCATTTTTGATTCCTACACTTAGATTTTCTCCATGATGATCTGTCCCTAATTTGTTTGTTCAGGTCTCCCAGCTGTGCATTCCCAATGCCCCTACAACTGTCCGTCCATCTTTCCTTCCTGCTTTCCCAGCATTAGAGTCTTTTCTTGAAAGACTGTGGGGGGGGATAATTTGACCCTGATCATTTGTGCCTCGAATGATGGACTTTACGTTGATCTGTCTGATGTTCCATTGAATTGGAAGGAATACAACATAAAAAAAAAGTGTTAAAGTCTTTCATTAACATTAGTCTACACAGACTCAGTTTTAAAAGGTGTCATATCATGAAGGATTCCACTGTGGTATTACAATCATTATCAGTATCATAGCAAAGAATTTGGTACCCTTCATCCTCCGTTACCTGGCTGAAATAGATATTTATACAGAAACATCACACCTACGATGCATACACTTTTGTCACCTTTCTCTTCAATTTCCTATCCTAACACTGATATAGCAGCTCAGAAAGGAATATCAGACGCACTTACCAAGGTAAGCACCAACAGGGAGGAATTGGAATCTGAATGCCCAATGGACCATTCAAATTAATTTTTAGTTTAGTTTATTGTCATTGCACCTCGTACAATGAAATCAAACACCATCTTCAGTGCACATCATGACCATGAAAATAAACATAAACACACATCCTTCACTTTCTATACACTGAATTGAAAGCCCCCGACACTGCACCAACACTGCACTATACAGTAGAATTCAATAGAGTTACTGTCCTGAGATATAAGCTGTTTTTCAGTCTGTTTGTCCTTGTTTTTATTATTCTGTACCATCTGCCACATGGTAATAGTTCAAAAAAGGGTGCCCAGGATGAGATGGATCTTTGAGAATGTTTTGAACTTTCTTAAGGCAACAGGAGCTATAAAGCTCTTCCAAAGAGGGGAGAGGGCAACCAATGATCTTCTGGGCAATGATGTTAACCCTCTAGAGTGCTGTCCTATCTGCACAATTGGCAAACCATATAGCGGTGCAGTAAGATAAGATACTCTCTATGGTGCAGCAGTAGGTCACCAGCAGTTTTTCATTCAGTTGCTGTTTTCTGAGAAGTCTCAGATAGTATAATCTCTGCTGGACCCTTTTGACCAGGGCTGCAATGTGAGCACCCCAGGTCAGGTCCTCTTTTATGGTAACACCCAGAAACTTAAAACTAGCCACTTGGTCTCCATTGATAAGCAAGGGCTGTATGTCTGATCTGTTCCTTCTATGGTTCCCTATTTGTGTTGAGGACCAAGTTATTGTCTTCACAACCATGAAAGCAACCGGTCCATTTCATCTTGATAGACAGACTCATCCCACCCACCCCCGAGATGAGTCCCACCACTGTTGTATCATCTGCAAATTTAGTAATAGTATTACTAGCGTGAGTGGGAATGCAGTCATACACAAAAAGAGTAGAGTAAGGGACTCAACACGCAACCCTGTGGTGTACCAGTGTTTAGAATAAGGGCTGAAGAGGTATGATTACCTAATCTGACCCTCTGTGAGCGGCCAGACAGGAAATTCAGTTACAAGGAAAGAACCCGTCCTAAGTTACACATATGCCTAAATTGTGCTGGAAATAAGCTACTAGAATACAAAGGAAAGTACCATTTGTAGAAAACAATACAAAGCTCAAACATTCAAGCAGCAACACTGGATGAACGAAGATGGCTGAACATCCTCACCCCTCAAGCATTTCTTGAAGGTAAAGAACTTCCTTCTAGAAGGATTCCACAGCATTTTGAAAGAAAGTGACTGTTGCAGGAACGAACACCTGCGGTGCAGCAGCTGTCATATAAGTCTTGAGTATGGAAAACGTTTTATGGTTGTTCCCTATAATCTATCCTCTTGGCTAAGGATTTTGATCTTTGATCCTAGCAAGGATGTCAGGCTTTGTGACATCACTTCTCAGCATTTTGGTTAAGATCAATTGTAGGAGTAAGTTTTCCTAACTGTCTCAGCACCTTGGGACAATCAGGGTGCTTGAAGCTGGCCTTTGAAATAGTCAACTGGGAAACATAATCAGCAGGATCAGTAGAAAGTTATATATAGCAGGGCTCCTCAAAGTCATATACCCCAATTCACAAAAATGATGAGTTTCTGTGATCCCCTGCCCCCATTAACGACTCATTTCATTGGGATTATGGCTGGGCAATAAATAATAAAGCCTTTTAATAATTAAAATTGAATTCATGAATTGAATTCAAGCAATGATAAAACCTTATGTTTATATTCAGAACAGTGAGATCCCCACTTCTACCAGTATGAATAAATGCCAGTTAATATTAAGGGTTTTTTTTTCTTCTTTCCGTTCAATTATAATCTGACTAATTTGAAATCATTATAGAGCATCTTGCACTCTGGAATGATGAAGAGCTGGTCTTGTCCTTTTCAGTCAGGTACAGTATTCCTTCAGGTACAAGAATGTCATACCTTTCTGATCCTTCCTTTTTTCACAGCTAAGCATTCCTAATTCCTAAATCTTCTTTTGTAATAAGACTTGGTTTCTAATCCGCTGCTAATTCTTATTTCCCTTTCTGAATCTGTTTTATCTAAATCTTTTTTAAACTGTGGTACCTAGAACTAGATGCTGTAGTCGATATTGGGATCAGTGAGTACAAAATCTTATGCACTCTGCATTGTAAAGTAAGTCTGAATATGGAGTATAATTAGCTCATTCTCATACAAATTAAATATTTCCTTGGAGGCTAATCATCTAGACAAATTCGTTTTAAATTTGGCAGTTTCTAAATTGGTTGGCATTTTTCCTCAATGCGAATAATGCAAATTTGGTTAAGATATCTAATGTACTCCATGACATGTTGATGGGCTACGGTGTTTAACACTCCCAGGAAGCATGAATAATGGTGAAGGGTGCAGGGAAACATCATCAGCAACATCTGGAGGCCATAGCTTTTTTGGATCTAGAAAAATTTGCTGTAGCAGATATAAAGCAATGATTGTGCCATTGGACCCAGATCCAAATCACAATTTTAGAAAAATCATGATTTCAGTGGTTCAGACCAAATCGGAATCTAACTCACTGGATAGATAAAATAAAAAGTAACTTAAATTAAAGCAATGACAAATTCAGGTCTGTGAAGTTTAGGCTCATTATCCAGTGAACTGAGTAATCACCAATTTTATATGCAAAGGCCAGCATTTCTCATAGAACTGATCAGAGTAAGCATTAGAGGCAATACAATTCCAAAGTTATTCATAGATTTATTCTAAAAAATATTTAATTGATGCAAGTCGTCCCCCCCCAATTGCATTTGAGCAAATGGAAAAATTCAATTCAGGAGTAATCACACCCTTATTCTTTTATTATTGTGATTTAGTTTATAAGTTAATTCAAGGCTTAGCATTTACATGCTGTTTCAGTATTTTTTGTAAAAGTTATTTTATATACTTCTTCATAGACTTTATTTACTTTTGAATCTATTTTCCTGTGACTTTTCTTTTGATGCCTTCTCAGCCATGTACCATCAGTAGAAATAGCATTCATGTGTATCTATATTCACTTAATAGAATCCATCTAGGTGTGCACATAGAAACAAGGTACAATATATCTACAATTGATGTTATAAAGTCTAAATGCTGCTGTATAATTTCTATCACAAGTGAACCAGATTTTGTTATAACCAAGATATGCCTTTATAAGTTCCCTCTCATTGTAACAAAAAAAGGTTTATATGGACAATTATAGTTTTCCTTTAATCAACATCCTGATGCCATGTATTCTTTTCTTATTGTCTTCCTTTCCTAAATTACTTGTTGGGTTTTTTTGCAAGCATATAAATTTAGTAACTGGAATAAAGTTGTGCATCAACTGCATTTGAAAAATATGCTGAACAAATACATCTAGTCACATACTGATCATAAGTTATAATGAAGCAACTTTTAGTAACTTTTTAAATTCAGAAAACCACCACAAGAAATAGCAAAACTACATTTATTGAAAATGAATTTTATACATTTCAGAATGCAAAGGTTGTTCCATATAGAATTGGTCTCCAAATAAAACCAACAAATCACATACAAAGTGTTCGAAATTGTACATTGCATTGAGGAACAGCCATATATGCAGATACAAAATAATTGTCATCTACCAAAATAAGGCAGAACCCAGGCACAGCGGCTAGTCAGTACCTAAGTATAGTATAACCTGCTAGGAATCATACACAACCAGCAGTGTTGCTTATATTTACCTTAGCCAGGATTTTTATTTTTTCCATCCCCCAGCAGGCCAAAATCTAAAACTTTTGTGGGTTTTGGGATATGTGGAAGATACATCAATGATTACTTAATAATTCAGCTCAGCAAAATATAGCAACTTACATTTACTAGTATGATATAATTGCTTGGCCAATTAGATCTAAAAATTGCTTTAGAACAAGGAAGTGTCATCCTAGAAAAGTGACTTTCAAAAAGTACTATGAGCTTGTGCAAGATGTCAAGAGCCAGCAATATGAAAGTGGCAGCTTATGTGCTTCAGTGCAGCCCAATCATGGTTATGAGTTCACAATAACATTGACAATAATGGCAATTAAGTTTTGACAGGGTTCCTTTTAAGTTAGAACTTCATATTTTTAAATTTTAGTTAGCTGGGACTTTTAATTCACTTTGAGGTCAATACCAACACAGCTGGGATTAAGATGAGAGGGAATCAGGAATCAAGTTCATATATCTAAACTGGATTAGGTGCCAACATTATGCATTAAAATATATGACCTATTTTGTGAGAACTCTTGCTTTAGTGTTCCTAAACATGTCATTAGAATCCAAATTCTA